TATGGAGTTTCCTTCATGTAACACAAAGCAGGAGTGGGGAGGCTTCAGATCAGTGATGGCAAAGCTGTGAAGGACAAAATATAAAACATTTCTGCCGGGGAGAAGCACATTGACTTCATCAGTGCTGAGCACAGGATAACTCGAGAACATCCATCAAAACTGTGGATATTGGGAAGGAATTGTTCCCTGGGAGGGTGTGCAGGCCCTGGCACAGGTGCCCAGAGCAGCTGGGGCTGCCCCTGGATCCCTGGCAGTGCCCAAGGCCAGGCTGGACCAACCTGGGACAGTGGGAGGTGTCCCTGCCATGGCAGGGGGGGCACTGGATGAAATACAAAATCCCTTCCAACCCCAGATGTTCCATGACCCATACTAAATACCGTTTTTATAGCCATATCATTATAAATTAAAGCTGCCTAGGGAGTTCCTCCCTCTGCAGCTCCGAGGTGAGCCCCCAGGGCTGGCCCCCAACACCTGCAGAGGCAGCAGCCACAGGAGCTCAGCGTGGATTAGGATCAAAAGAACAAACAGAATTTGAACTACTCCTCTTCTGTTTCGCCATGAGGGTATTTTAAGTCTAAGATATGGGTTCATTCCTTGAACATCTTGCCAAAAAAAGAGTGTTGCCCAGCAACTACTAAAACAATGTTCTGGAAGGAGGGAGCTGCTGGACAAATTAACCCAGTGAGTGCCCTTTTTGCCAGAGTTTCCAGCAACTATTGCAGAGCTGCTGGAAAGGCTGGCAGACAGCTCTGCATCCCAAATAAAGAGCTGTAAGGAATTTCCTGAGCAGCCTGTCAGCCAGACTGCTCTGCTGTAGTAGCAGTGTCTTGCATTAAACAAACACGCTTGGCTCGGCGCGGGGCTGCGCTCCAGCACAAAGAACACAAACAAAGCTCTGCAAACGCACAGTCCGGCTGACTGAGAGCACTCAGCAGCAGCCCCAGCAGCAAACCTCCAGCCCCGGGCTCTGCTGCAGCCCCTGCAGCACGGCAGGGCTCGGTGGCACTCGCAGAAGAAGGAGCTGCGTGTGGATTTCAGGAGGAATGATTTCCAGTGGGGCTCCAGCCCAGCTGAGGGTCAGCTCCAGTTCACACTTCCCACATCAATCCATGCACGTTAAAAGGAAATTCATTTCTGGCCACTCCTCAGCTGCACAGTCGCACTCAAAGATGGCAATTAGAGCTTAATGAAAACATTCAATGTCTTTTCTGTTTAAAGAAGTGCAGGTAACTAAGGGAATGTCACACTCTTTCTTTTTTTGGAGACTCATACAAGGAGGATTTCTTCCAGGAATCTCATCTGTACACAGTACATTTACAACAGTTAAGTAAAAAAACCTCTTCTGCATATTAACATTATTAAAAAGAAACACTCTAATGAATGCACTCTTCAGTCTTCACATTTTGAAAAGCAGTTTTAGAGGACTTTTGAACTGTTTGGAGCTGGAGGCATGAAGGGCCAGAGAAATGCTGTACTTGAAAAAAAACCCAAACACACCCAAAGCACTGTATTTAAAGTGGACACAGAAAGCCAGAATAAAAAAAAAATCCATTGAAATCTTAGACCATAATTGCCATCCAACCTCAAACCACTGACCTCAGGTGCTAAATAATTCTCCTTGGGATGGAAAATAGTAAGAAAACGAATCAGCCTTCACACCTTCCAGTGATCAGATGAATATTTTAATGACCTAGAGGCACCACAGCATTTAACACGTGAAATAACTGCAGGTAAACACTCACAGGAACTTGAGTGTGCTGCACTACCTTCCTCCGGAGCTCCTTCCAACTCCAACACTTCACTTTTTTACCATCTAATAACCCTGGAATTCTTTGTTTTGAAACCACCTCATTTACACTTTTACTCCACACTCCAACCCTGAACACCACCCGCCCTCTGACTCTCAGCTGCCTCTTGCACCTCACCCTTTCCAGGGCTCCCCCACCTCCAGCTCCATCTGTCAGCCAACTTTTCCCACAACCAGTGTCAACAAAGGCAGTCCTGGTGTCCCCAGGATGCTCTGCTCCTTCTGTCCCTCCCAGCTCCAGCACATCCTCCTGTCCCACCACACTGACTCCCAGATCCCCTCGCTGCCTCCAAGCCAGTCCTTTTCCAAGCAGTGATTTCCCAGCACACAAACCCCACCTCGGCTGGGAAGGGGCTGTTTTTAGGAACACATTGCTCAGGCAGGGCTATTTTCACACCACCAGCAGGTTACCAGTGTTTAGTGACAGAACATACTCACATTTAGGCACTGCTGCCAAATCCTTCTCTGCAGGCACAGGGGTGGTGCACACACACCCCCCACTTTGTGCACAGAAGCTCTGCCCCATTTCAAGGGTCTGAAGTAGAAAGAAAATCCCCCATCCTCTAGAGCAGGGCCTTGCTGCTGCCACCAGATGCAAAGGATTAAATGTAGCCTTGGCAACATGACTTTTTACAACCTGAAGCACCTGTGGTTAGGGGAAAAAGCAGGGTGGGTTCATTCTGCCACTGGATAACCAGGCTTGAGTTTCACACTGAATTTTCTTGGAGTCATCTATGCATATCTAAGCAGTCAATCTTGCTTCTGGAGATCTCTCCTCACGTTGATTAAGCATGAAATTTGTATTTACAACAGTTTTACATCTGCCCACGGAAGACAGAGCTGCTCTAAGGAGATCAGAATGACACTTCTCAAAAAATGGTACCAAAAAGGAGATCCCCAAGCCTGGCCAAAGGTGACAGGCTCAGTGTCCCTCCCAGGAGGGGACTGACCTGCACCTGGACACCCTGGAGCACAGGGACATAAACCAGGTCACAGAACCACACAAGTGTTTTCCCAGTCCTCTCTAAGGGTACAATCCATGTCACTCCCACTTGATTCATTTTCTTCTTGCTCCAAGCAGATTTTGGAACATTCCTTCATAATCACCAGTGCCTGACCCCACTCCTCAGGCCCGCAGCTGCGTGATGACCAACATGAATCACAGGATGGTTTGGGCTGGAAAGGACCTCAAAACTCATCCCCTCCCACCCCCTGCCATGGCAGGGACACCCCCTGTACCCAGGCTGCTCCAAGCCCCACCCAACTGCCGCATAAAAATGGAGTATTTTCCATTTCTGCTGAAGATGAGGTGATAAACTCCATTATTACTTCTTCTGAACATATTTATCACGGAAAGCATTTTATCTCAGACTACACTTACAAAGTACGTGTATAAATAAGAGAAAAGGCTGCTAAAATTTTATGACTTTTGTTGCCATTTACCATTAAGCATAAACCTCCCCATGAAAGCTTCACTGAAGTAACTACAAAGGTTGGAAAAGGTTCACACCATTCTTTCTCCCTGTATAAATTATAAGTAATATGAGAACATTTACAATGTCTAACCACGGTGTTTTATGTCAGACAAATGTCTCTCTGTACTTGCAGTTCCTAAACTGTGCTAGCAAGAATTGCCTTTTTCTCATTCTTTCCTCTCTCCCTGTCTCTCCCTCCACCTCCTTCTGCACCCAGCAGACTCAGTCAAATCTGCCTTTATTCTTCCATACCATTTTAATATCAAGAATGCCTCCAAAGTCAAGGCTCTGCTTCACATAACAGCATTGTTCTTTCCTGGAGAGCTTGCCACCGAATGCTGAAACTTCCCCAGGTTGCCTCTTTAGTGTTTCAATTATCAGCTCTTCAGTTTTCCAGGAAAAAGGGAGAAAAACCAACAAGAACTCACAGACTTCAGCAATATTTTAAAAGGAGAACTTCATTATATGTGACATCATGTCATGGCAAAAAAATAACCCCCAAAATCTCTCAAATAACAGCAAGCAAAACCAGCAGCACAGACTGGACATGATTTTCAAGGGCAATCACCTGCAGTTCTGGCCAAGCCTCAACAGAATTATGGTGATTCTGAGACCCTGACAAAGGCAAAGCATAACCAAGGAAACAAGATTCATCCAAAGAAACAAGACACAGGTGCTGCTACACCTGAAACAATAAAATCCAGACCAAAATTTTAGAATATTTAGCTGAGTGATCCTCTAGGTAAAAGATGCAACCCAGGGGTGAGAAAAAGAATTCAAGGTCTTTGCAAACAAAATCCCAGTGAGTGCTTCTCTTCCTGTCTGAGGCCTTTCTTGCACAAGTCAGTCCTTGCCAAACTGAAAAGCAGAGCACTAATTTCTTATCACTGAGCATAAGTTTCCTGGCAGAATTGAAAGCAAAGCCCAAGGTAGCTCATATCAAATTAGGTCAGATAACAATAGTTGTGGCTAACACTTGCTCCTTTTTATTTTCCTCCTCCCTGAGGTTTGGTACTGGGTAATTAGGAAGAAGGTGTGATAGAACAGAGAAAAAGAAATGAAATTCCCAGGGATTGTGAACATTTGGACAGATCTGAAAAGGAAACAACTGGCAACCCCATCCCCTCACACAGCTTTCTTCATTCCTGGGTTTGGCTGGGAGAGAGCTGATCTTCCTTGCAGTAGCTGGTAGAGCCACATTTTGGATTTGTGCTGGAAGCTGTTGCTAACACAGGGATGTTTCAGTTACTGCTGAGCAAATCTCTGCTCCTCACCTCCCCCATGAGGGCTGGGGGGCACAGCCAAGCCCAGGATGTCCCAGCCCATGGGCATCACACGGGATGCAGAGCTGGGAGTGCCTGTGGCATTTGTCTTGGCCCAACACCTGCCTGCCCATGGGAAATGGGGAATCAATTTACTCTTCTGCTTTGCTGCTGGGTGAAGCTTTTCCTTTATCTACTGAACTGCTTTGTCTGAACACTCTTCCTCTCCCAGCTCTCTCCCCCACCCCTCTGGGTGGGGCTGACTCAGGTTAAACCATCACAGTCCCACAGACATTCAACACACACATTTTTCCTCATGGGTTGTCATCCATAGAAGAAGATGACACTAAAATATGCTACAGAAAGCACAGATGCTAGAAATTGTTACACATCACTGCACAAAGCAAAGAATCATTCTTCTAGGCAGAAGGGTAAGGAGCTGTCTGGCCAACTTACCTCTGAATTTTTTGGGTGGGTTGTTAAGATCACCTGCTTCTGGCTGTACAACACACCGATCATCCACAAGGCTGCAAAGAAATGAGCACTGAAGTGAGATTCCATCCCCTGCAGCCCCTTCCCTCCTCCTCAACAAAACCAAAGTCGTTCACTTGCAATATTTCATCCGAGTGGCCACTTCAGCAGAAGACATTCCCCAAATGCCAACTTATGCCAGATCTTTCTAAGAAGCATGCAGCTAATTTTTACTGTTGCCCAGAGCTATGCTCCTGGTAGGTGGGACAATAAATAAGTCATTGCTCCTGTGTTCTGCATCATCCTTATGCTCATCCCCTGCTCGAGGTGCAGACAGAACAGCCCATATTCTAGGGAGGTGACAGACAGCCTCAGGACAGCTCCTGCCTCTTGGACAGATTTGAGTCACGCTGCAAACGTGTTTATATGAATAGAGAACAGGGAAATATGACAGCTATGCAAACTGGACACTGACCCTGTGACCCCTCCAGTATTAAGAAATGGCAGGAACAGTCACTGCCACAATAAAAATTGACTCCTGAGAGAAAGGAAGGCACAAATGTACCCTCCTGCTCACCAGCCAGGCACGAGGTGAGCTGAGGGACTGAGCCAACCTCCTCCTGTTCTGCCAGGAAGAGGGGGAGGTGGACAAGCAAAAAACCAAGAGATTCCAAGAGGGAATGCCAGGACAGAGCTGTCTGCCAGGAAGAGGGGGAGATGGACAAGCAAACCCAAGAGATTCCAAGAGGGAATGCCAGGACAGAGCTGTCTGTCCCTGCACAACCCCCACAGGGTCAGCTGAAATCCCAGAGAATAAAGGGAATGGTTAGGAAGCCCCTGTTCCCACTGCTCCGCCTGAGCAGCTTTGGATCAAGGTGGAGTTGGGCTTTTCCCAAACACTGCTTCCAAACTGGGAAATTGCACGTGTAATCAAACCCTTTGGGGCTTGATTTGATCCTAAACGACTCAATTTGGCCCCTTACAACCAATCTGTCAAAGAGGCTTTCTACACAAACGTAGAAAGTAAAATTCCAAGGTCAAAGGTTTGAGAGGTCCATTCTCATGCAGAATCAACTTGAGGAAGACTGAGACCTAGAATATGAGAGTTGTTCCTTGCAGAGGCTGCTCACATGCAGGGAGCATCTTGAGACAACAATTAGAGAAAATAAGGAAGTGCATTAAAATTAAGAGATCAGAGAAAGTAAGAGGGCTCAACAGTTTTATGCATCTAAGATTTGCATATGCAAACATTCAGAGTGAATTGCTTTTTCCCCATGGATTTTCTCCCTACTCAGTCCTATATTTATATATATATGTGCTCCAACATGAATGGTATTAACATCTGAGCTGAAGCACCTGCTTCTGGTGAACAAAGGGCCAAAAATATCCAGGAAACAGGTTACTCTGATCATCCCATACAGATAATCTCAGTGCAATACACCCCTCTCATCTGAGATTAAGTTGAAAGTACAGAGGAACGTCCCAAACTAGTAAGAGGAAAATTTTACAGGGTGAGAAACACGAAAGGGGATATATTGTACACCAGTAATCATCATGATGACAGCACTGAGTTTGGGAAACAGCAAGAGTAAAGTTCTGATTAAGGAACATGTCATAGGAATATTCAATAGGAACACTCTTCAGAGATTTAGGACAGCATTAGAATGTAGAGTGGTATCTGCTCCTCAACCTTCAGGACCCACAGAACAAGTCATTGCACATTGTTATGACATCAGACTGTCAAAACTCCACATGGGCTGGAGGACAATTACACCAAATCTTTCCTTTGCTGCTTTAATTTTCTCCAGGACAAAGACTAAATTAAATATGGGGCAAAACTAATTTGATTACAAAGGCTTATTAAGATGATAATGCATTTCATGTTTCACATAGCAATTAGGATTTCTGGCTTAAATTAGGCTCAGAGATATGTGGCCATCATATAATGCAGTTACCTTAAAACAGCACTAACCAAATCAAAGGAGAGGCCTGAGCACTGAGGGGTCTTTAGGCCTGCCACGAGAACATCTCATCAAGCCTAGGAAACACACGTGCTTGGGGCCTGTCGTGTCCACAAGGACTAGCCATGGTGAAAAACATCTGCTCAGCAATGCCCTCAGAAGCCACAGCCACTGCACGCTGGTCATCATGCACCGCGTGGGGTTCCGCATGGCAGAACTACTTTCTACTTGGTCTGGAGTTATTTACTGCCAAACTCGCTTCAGGACTGGGAAGAGGAACAGTAGGCAGATGTAGAGGATAACTCATGTTGCCAGTGCTCAGCAGATAGTATTTGGCCCGTTACACAGCTGATCCAGGGCTGCAGAGTGCACGTGTCATATTTGACGAGGACCTGGGAAATTTGTCAAATACATTTGCCAAATACTATTCGACCAACCCTACTTACTACATCCCCTGCTTTTATCATACCTTCTCTCCTTTCTGGCAGCATCCCATATTTTCTTCTCTTTCCTATAATAGATCATGGTGCATCTTCAGTGTCTGCTTCCTTCTCTGCCCCCTTATTTTCCAGAATCCTAATAGCTAGAGGACTAAACCTACAAGTTAGTTTGGAGTCACTCAGGTGAGATTCCAGCCCATCGTTTCCTGCCGAGGCACTTACCAGGATGCTGTCTCTGTACCCTGCTTGGGAGCTCCATTTATCAGATGCATCTGGGCTGCAGGCATCAAAAAATGTGCTGTGACTGTACCCACCCTGAGGCCCTTAGGGCTACTGGAAACGAGCAAGGGCAGGCTGTGTGTGTGTGTGCCCCTCGCTGGGCACAGCCCCGTGTGCCACACGCTGCTCCTGCCCTCAGCAACAGGGGCCAGAGGTGCTCCTGGAGCTGCTCACCCTGCAAGGGCTCCTCCCCGAGCAGCACCCAGCTCCTGATGTTTGCAGAGGTTCCTCCTCAGCAGGATCAAACATTCCCTGGCCCTCCTCAGAGCTGCCTTCCAATCCCATGGCTCTGCTCTGCCAGCTCGTGCTTTTCCCACGTGAAAAGCTGATTTTGTGGTTCATGGAGTAGCGTTCCCTTCTCCCTGCTGCAGGGCACCTGCCCCTGTCCGTGGGGAAGGCAGCACAAAGGGGCTCTGTGGGAAGCACAGGGGGCAGGAGCTGGCACAACACAGCTCCCACTGCAGCTCCAGAGCTCTGGCAAAGCACAAGGGTCAAAACATCTTCTCCTTTGATAGGAGGAAAACAATTTTGTTTGTAGGAGAAACCTCAAATTAAACCTTAAATTTTAAGGCCAAACTAGCTGCGGCGGTGAGTTACTGGTATTTAAACCACTTGGCTCGGGGATTTGATTTATTTTTTTGTTAGATATACATAATTTTTACACTACTTCCATTGCCTGTGCTACATCCTTTGTGCAGTCAGCAGAGTGCACTGGGGTCTGCTCATCCCTGAATGGGGAAGGGGCAGGGAGGGACAGGACGGGACACACGGATGGACACGGGACAGACAACAACATGAAAATCATTGGATTGCATTCATTCCCCTCTACCCCTCCACCTGACAAGGTTCCTCCTCCCCACCAAGGACATCAAACTGCACCACAGCCATGGATACACCTCCAGCCTCCCAAAATCTACCTCGCCAGATTCACTTTAGGCCATTTTTAAATGTAGGGCCAAATCCATCCATAAAGCTCCCTTGCTTTAGCCAGTATTCCCTGGGATCAGGCTCAGGAGAGCTAGCTGAGCTCTGCTAGTCCTTCTTACGGTGTTTTTAATACAAGAGAACAGCTGTTCTTACCCCAAAGTGCTAATAAATCCATTTGTTGAGCCCTCTGCATAGAGAGAACAAATATCTCCAATATGAAGGAAGCTCGACATCTTGTCAGTCATCTCTGGCTTATTGCCCCTGGAAGAAAGAATAAAGAATAAAGCACAACATGAATCAGGCAGAATTCCTTGGTGCAGCTACCAGAGGTTACAGCAACAGGAGCCTTTGCCTTTGATTGTTGGTTTGTTTGAAAAACCGAGCAAGTTCTCGCAGTGGAGCTTCAGGTATCAAAGAAAACCCAGCAGGCCAGAGTGCTTGCTTGGAAAAATAAACCAGGGGAAAACAAGCAGCTACTGGCAACCCATTCCACGTGGGACTGCTTCACAGGCAGGCATTCATCCCAGAGGATGCTGGATTTCAGTGCAGCTGCACCAACCATTCCATCCCACCTGCCAGAGGGAACAGGGGAGAGGGGACTGCTGCCTATTTGTATCTAAATCACATTTCTTTGCCAGAATTAAAGGTAGGTTTAAGCATCCTTTAAAGGTTCCCCTTTGTGCTGGAATGGTGCTTCTGAGAAATTCAAAATATTGCCCTGATTCATGACACCAGCAGCCTCCTGCTTACACCCACAGGCCCAAAATCAGAATTAGGTGAAGACCCACTCTGCATTCCTGACAACAGATTTTGCATGTTAAAACAAAAATTAAGATTTTTCCAAAGTCAAATGCTTTATCAGGAAACCAAATCCTTGTGAAATCAGTAATACTTCAATCCTGGGTTTAAAATAGATGGCTTAAATGTAACACTGAGGAGACAGACTGAGTGTTGCCAGCTTCAACTGTATTAAGAACTTGATTTTCTCTAAAGCCCCAAGTCCAAATGACACAGGATCCACCTGTCATTTCAATAAATATAGAAAAAAAATTGAGTTTCAATCTGTCACAGCAACAAAGAGCCAACACAAGCCCGGATAAAAAACCCAACAGGACAGATTTTCAAAGACCTCTTTCCCAAGCCCATTTACTGGTTTCCTGGAGATCCTCCCAAGCCCTGCTTTTTGATCAGAGAGTTCAAAAGGCCCAAGCAGCTCCTGTGCTCGAGGTTCCAAACAGCAGGAGCAGCAAGGCTCTCACAAGCTGCTCCTCCTGGCAGGCTGTGAGCCCTGCCAGCCAGCACTGCCCAGGGCACGCTCCCACAGCCGGGGAGAAAGAACTCAGAACATCTCCTCCCTCTGTCTCCATCACACCCAAAGAGGTGCCCAATGCTCCAAGAGCAGGAGAAGGGAGCAGCAGGAAATTCTGCTCGTTCTAGAGCACAGCCCTGCCTGTACAGGGATAAACACCCCCTTTCCCTGGACAGTGTCTTGTTTACCAGGAGCAGGTTGTTAGGGAAGCCTGGAGCTCAACAAGGACAAGTCCATGGAGATCTGAAAGGTGATGACTGCAGCTATGAAAGGGCAATAAAAACCTAAAGTTACAGTTTTCTTCTGAAAAGCTCCAAGCAGCTCTCCCTCCTCACTCCCAAAAGATCTGTGCTGCTAGGAATAACAATTACAACTTTCATTATTATTAAATCAAAGCACACCATGGACATTTTATCCCTGCAAATCTGTGTCACTGGTACAGTGAAAAACAAATCCAGGAAAACCAAGAGGCAACAGGCCAGGCTGATATGCAGGTAAAGGGGTCTCAGCTCCTCTGGAATCAAATCTGGGTGCACACCACACCAAACCCTTTGGCTCCAGGCTGCTTGTTAAATGCCAAGTCCTTCAGCCACTGCATGTTACACAGTCTGTTCCCATTCTTTCTTGATAAGTGGACAGAAAAACATTGCTACCTATTTTAAGATATATGCCAAGAAACATACAGAAATATGCAGAGTGACTGAATTAGCAGCACTGGAAATACAACTTTCCCCATTTCCTGACTTGGATGTTAAACTACCAACTTCAGACTAAAAAACTTTTCATCCCTCAAAATTAGGCTCAGCCCTGAATTAATACAGCCCAAAGTAAAAGCTGTCTAAGCCAACAAAAACCACATATACTCCCAAATTAACCCTTTCTACCTGGCATTATTTTTCCTTTCCAGGCTGTTGGGGGGGTTACTTTTTCCTCACAAGAAGCAGATGTTCACCACAGCTGTTCTCAAGGGAATGTGAAGGTCAAAACTATTGACTTCCATTTGAGATTTTTTTCTTGGCAAAAAAAAATCTCAGACCATTGCCCAAAACCAGGCTCAGGGATGGACAAGCAAATTCCTGCATCACTTTCCAGGACACAGCCTCAATTTTTCTCACATTTTCTTCATCGAGGAAAATCCCACCACACCATGAAATTGTAACCCTGATATATCATGATAGCTCAAACCCCCCAAAAAAGCTCTTCTGCAATTTACTGACAATTCCACTAATAAAAGGTTTATCAGCTTCACCCAGAACCATCTCAGAGTTCTGGATAACAGAACGGTGGCGTTAAGCCTGGCAGCAGTTCAGTGAATTGAACAGCTGGGCTCTTCACCAATCCTTAGAATTTCTGGATGGGCTTGCAGAGGCATCCCTGCAGAGCTGGGTTTGGGGTGCAGCCTGGAACCCCAGCCTCTGCTGCTCCCACCAGGACAGCTGTGCTGGAGTCTGGCTTCACAAAGGGCTGAGCTGGCTACAATAACCACCTTTCCCAAGGCTTAGGCAGGGATTAATCACCATGTAAGTCCTCACTGCCCCTTCTCCTGATTTCTGAATGCTGTTCTAACACCACTCAGAGTGATGCCATCCCCAACACACCAGGGGATGCTCCACCACCACCTGGGGAAGCAGGGAGCCAATTTCCACTGGGGTGAGCCTCTCCCCACAGCCCAAATGAACCCTGGCTACCTCTGTTCTTTACCAGCCAAAAGCAGTCCCACTGACACCTCTCCTCAAATGCTCAGCTTGGCCAGGACCAGGCTGGACTGGCAGATGGAGAAGGGACTCAGTGACCCCACAGGCTCCCCACACAGGAGGGAACTGAGACATTGCTACACTCATTCAGCTTCAAAGCTTTTTACAGTCCCCTCGCAAGGGACTGACAAAACCACTCCAGTTATTGGCATCACACATTTGGCTAAATGATCAGCCACCTCAAATGGAGGCTTTTCCTACCTCTGACAACTGGGAAATGTGAAGCAAAAACTGGAAAGTTTTTTAAGAGCAAAGTTCCCAGGCACCCAGTTTGAAAACCTTTTTCTAAAAGATGCTGTCAACAACAGCTGACCACACTAATCCTCCCCAAATCAGACCTCTGTGGGGGTCATCTTTGATTATTTTCTTCAGCAGGACAAGCCAGAAGCGGAGGCAGTAAAAATCTGTCAGCCTTGGCACATTTATCCCAAGTTCCAGCACGGGGAGACCACAGGGACTGAGGAGAATGGGTTTGCTCCTGGACATGTCACTCAGAGCATCCATGTGTGTCCCCAAGGCACTGACCACACACAGGATGACCACCAGAACTCCTGGAAGTGCAGGACAGGAGGATTTTCACACCCTCCCAGGACCTGGCTCTCGTGGGTACAGCGCAGTCACGCTGTTCCAAAGGCAATTGTGCTGCATGGACAAATACAACCATTACCCCACTATTTATTTATTTTAGATAGGCCAGTGCCAAGAGCAACTGATTTATAGTAGATGAGGGGACGGCCCTAAGAGAACATTTGCAGTTATTCCGTGCATAATCCCAGTTTTAATGGCACTCACAGCCCTGCAAGAGGGGATTCCTGCAGGAAATTCATCCTGCTCCAGCTGAAACACGGCAGGGTTACCCAGGGAGCATTGTCCTCCTCCTCCCCTTAAACACTGCAGGAAAACAAGACTCCCTCTAGGTAAACTCACTGTAAAAAAATCAAAGATGAAGCACTGATAAGCATGGCATTACCTAGCAAAACTGAAGTCAGGTTTCCCCAAGCAGATTAACTCAGGTGGCAGCAACGTCAACAGCAGCAACCCAAGCTGTAAAAATAATGTTCTTTTCTCACTAAGCTGAAGGTTCACATTTAAAGAGCCAGAAGGACTTGCCAGGCTACAAAAGAAACATGAACTAAAAGTGGACTGTACATTGAGAAGTTAACTGTATCTGCCCACAAACATCAAAAAATTCCTGAGATATGAACACATTCTACAGTAATATTTTTAAGCCCTGAAAGCCTCAATATTTATAATTCTGTTGGTGACTGTTTCCTCATGTCTGTATCAAAGTTAGTGGCTCAGTATGTTTTATATACAGTTTATCTGCACAGGAAAGCAAAAATCAAGTTTCTGTTTAAGAAACTGACTAAAATAAATAAACAAACAAAAACCTGCTGAATTCCATGTGAATTTCAAGAAACTGACCTACAAGTTTTTCTGCCTGCTCTGCTCTATGGGGCTGGATCTGAGCATGCATTAGCTCATTTCAGGCAGAGAATTAAAGCCAGGAAAACCTGCTATTCAGCCCAGGACCTTCAGGACTTTCCCCCCTGCTCTGGTGATCAAAAATCTGCAGGACACCACGAGTGTGATCTTCTGACTGAACAGAAAGTGACACAGCTCCGGGGTTCAGTTCTGATTATTTCTTACTACAGATTATCTTGTGGGTATCTTCAACACAAGCTGCTTTTCCTACAGTGAAAAGGACTGAACAGAACCAGTTCTGAAAGGCAAGGGAAGGGTTTGTACAAGCCCCTGGCCACGGTTTGTCCCCAAAGCCAAGGAGAAGCTCTGCAGACCCAAAACCAGCTCTCAGGACCCTGCTGGATTTTAGGGCACAAGCAGAGCACATGCTCAGCCTAATGGCCTTGAATAAGGCAGGATAAGCTTAATATAGTCCCTGAAATGCAATCCTTTTTCTCATGAAAACACATTTCATAGGGGCAGTAAAAGCAGGATTAACAGTGAAAACACCACGACATCAAACCGACTGCTCAGTATCAGATACCTCCAGGAGACAGCTGCCTTTTGAAACGCTCCGAACGGGAAATGCAACTGCTTTGTAAACATTTCACGCTAATTTCTCCCATCACTCATCTCACTCCCCATGCTAAGCCAGAAAAAACAGGTTTCAAGAGCGACGCTGGGAGTTTGCTTTCCTTGAAGAGCGAGTCAAGGCCCCGTTTGAAGTCCCTCCT